CGTATAGTCGCCATTTCTATTGGAGTATTGAAGAGGAAATCGTTCACAAGTTTCACGCCGAATAAAATTTGGCAATTGGCAAAAGCAAACGAAGTCTTAGCAGTTCAAATAGCTATAAAAAGGTTTTCCTTCCATCGCTGCTTATGTTTTGTGCGAGAAACAATCAAGTTGCTTTGATTTCGTCTTTTCAGGCAAATATTTATTACTTTGGAACTGATTTCAGTTCGTAATGAGTAGCAATCGGCAAGTCAGAGACTCAGAATATTAAAAAGCATGTTTTACTTTTACGGAATAATTGTTCCTTCAATAATTTCACAACCCCCGGTAATTTTTTCCCCTCGAATTTTTACTGAAATTAAGCGGAATTTTTGGTGTTCTGGTGTTCCGTATTCCGGAATGATGCTGTTCCGGTGTTCCGTGTTCCGGTGTTCCTGCTTTTACTAATAGGCCGGCCACTTTACTCATTTGATTTCGTCATTTCGAGGCCCTGTTGAACAACACATACGCGCAATCGGAAGATGAATGCCATGAACTGAATTATTGCCATGAGCTCGTAAAATATTTCTTAATCGCATGTTAAAAGCTATCCGAATACCGCTATTTATTTTAGTCAATAACCGAATCCGGAGGGTTAATTTCGACATTTTCCGTCTCCGCACGATTTCCAGTTAACCGCAAACCGTACAAAATAACTGGATATAACCGAAATCCGACCTCAAAATATGGCTAAATCCGCATAACCGCGAAACTATAATAGGCCCCCCATATATAGCATAACTCGTTTTTTACCCTGCTGCGAGCAAACGAACGACTAGCCTGCATGGCAGGCGGTACGTAGGAAATACCGCCTGCCGCAAAACTGGATGTAAATGAACTACCGCCCCTGAAGCATCAACGCTATTTATAGATGCAATTAATTAAGTAAATATTCAAAATTAGCCACTCCCTAGTCTCCTATGCAGACCTACTTTAGCGGGTTTGGGCCCGCCACGTACGGTCTGCTTACTTTCGCTAGCAATTCGCCTTTCCGTTGATTCCATTAGCCAATAGCATTCAAATACACAAGACACGCCCACTTTGAATGTCAACTGTAAAGTGTAAACAAGGAGCGTGCGATAATCGAATAATAAAACGGTATATACGTATTTAAATGGCCTTTTATAATGTGAACAGATCGCGAGTTTTCTGATCAATAGCAGTCGAAGTAGAAAATATTGAATATTTTTCCAACGAATGTACGCGATAGGGCGAAGGCTTAAATTATATAAAACTATTCACTGGTAATACTTGTTTTGAACTTGACGCGACTGCGTGACGGCATGTATATTCAATATATACTATTAACAATATATATATCATTAATAATTCATGAAGAAAACACAAAAGAAATCATGGGCGTAAAGGTGTCTGTATATGTGATACAGATGATTCATGTTGATTTACATAAACTTTAACTTTGATTTTCTCGGCTTAGACAACGTTTATTTTTAAAATTACTTCGCCAATGAACTCATAAGATGAGTCGTTTTCGGCTCGAGTTTGTCATATCCGATACAACACGGCCGCTCATGTTGTAAATAAAACTAAGTTTCCGAACGTTCAATATCAGAGCGACTTTTGTAATTACGATTTTATTAAACTTTATAAACTGGCTAGTTATATACAAACTTAGAAACCGAAATATGCAATGAACCAATTCAGTATTTTATATATTGGCTGAATTCTGTAGTCTTCAATTAGTATTTATAAATCCATTATCTACACCCGCAGTAATGTACACTGTAACTTTATATAACTTTGTCTTGACGTCTTTGTCCAGTATATTACCCGTGTTACAGTAACACCTGCAGACGCTTGTAAAGTAATCAAAACATCGCGAAATATTTTAGGTGATATTGTTCGATATTTCTACACTGTCTGTTCAAAACAATAGCTCGACAAATTCTAACAGATTTTACAATTGTTCCATATTGTAAATTTGTAGATTGGTATATGTACAACAAATACATCCCTCAGCTCTCGCATATAATCGGTTTAAGATATGAATTCATACAAATGAAGATAAAAAATGTTCAAGATTAAATGTTTTGAAACTTTTAACGACTCAAGGTCAAAGCCAAAGGTCAAGCCCCACAATTTTCGTGGGTAAAGCTGTGATTGGCTAATTTTGAGGAAAGGAATTCTTGGCCAAAGTAAGCATACCTTACGTGAGGGCTCAGCCCGCTAAGTAGGTATGCGTAGGAGACTAGCCACTCCCAAGCTGCTCCCAAGTCCCAACTGCCCAACATAAAATAAATTCCTTGATTCTCATCACCGCCCGACTGAATTTTAAAATCCTCGTGAAAACGTTTTATTTTTCGTTATACAATATAAATGTACCGCCCGACAAAATAATTCAAGACAGTTAATTTTTTCATATTTTATATAGAGTTTTTATTGCCATTTTAAACTTCCAATTTGAAACTATTGATATATAAATTATATAAATATAAAATATAAAAAATAAATCTCCCACTGTCTTCGACATTTCAAAGTGTAGACTGTGTCTAGTGATGAGAATTAAGGAATTTATTGTATGTGTTAATATAAACCAAGCCCGTTTAGCCGTTTAGCTGCCTTAAAACGGTGGTTTAATAAGCTCAAAATACAAAGCATGCAAGTCTATACTATAGATTCATCATCAGTCAACAACCAAACTAAAAGTATTGAACCTTATAGAACGATAGTTTTTATTTGTTTACAACTATACATATTCAACGGGTATATAAGAGTTTAACTGTTATTTGATAATTACTGCATCAACCGGCCCCTTGTTTATACTTTGGAGGTTCGTATATAATATCTATCAAGTATCTTTGGTTCAGAACATGACTGATAGGCCTATATGGAAATCCCACTGTTCGATTCAGTGAAGAAATATCTCCTAATTTCTATCGATAGTTTTAGTAAAATGTCAACATTATTGCGATTTATGGCCTTTGAAAGTCAAGCGAGATAGTATATTATCAAATTAATACGCATGTAATTGTCTGAACGAAAATATAGACTAGCCCATACCTTTCTCCGATCATAACTTCGGTCCCTTCGGACGTATCTTCTTTGTTAGATATTCTTGTTCGAATCTCTATCAATAACACTATTTAGAGTGTTATTTTTCAGCTTGTATCTTTTAATTTGCTTCTTTTATTATGTTATTCCATTTCTGGTCTGACTTGACGTGAACTAATTTCAAAACGCAGAGTTTCAAAACGTCAAAACATTTGGTTAATGATTAACATTTAACCGAATTTAGCCGTTGATTGACAACTACATAAAAATACTAACCAATCCGTTTTTCCCGCTCACCAGCGGACGGGTAATTCAAAAACCCCTAGTTTTGCGGCAGACGGTATTTCCTTTGCTTCCCTAATTTTCGCTGCCCGTAGAAATACCGCCTGCCATGCAAGCTAACGAATAACCTGAAGTTCAGGCCCTTATTTGAAATAGGGCCTCAGAGGAGGTTGGACAGCAGGCCGCAAAGCATCATGGGTATTGAGCGCCTAATCTGTGGCCTAATTCCGCGCGTGACTTCATTGACTGTTGACTGTCGAGGAGTGAACGTCTCTCTGACTAAACCAATATGGAAGCTTTCGAACGACAAGAGTGTCAGGCTTTGTGAAAAGAAACAGCATGTTATTGCTGTATTGTTGCGATCATCATTATGACTTGTGTTTTACTATATCAAGTTTACCTTTTTTAATTTAAATTGCATGGGACGTGCTGTCATTTCAGCTTTATAAATAATCCGTCTGAGCGAAGGAATTGTGTTTATATAAATATTCCCAATAGCGAGGCTCTTCTTTCTAAGTTGGATGGCGTTAAATCTCCGTGTATCATCAACGTGAAAACAAGCGCAGTATTTAAGGTTGGTATACTACAATGCATTACAGTTATCGTGTTATTTTATAGTCAAATTTCCGCTTTGTTGTTTTTATTCTTGTACTGTAATTTTATAAATAGTAACACTGTACAAAATTATGGCGTCATACTTGTGTTTATAATGCCTCTAATTTGACCCTATTGTGTGTGTATATGTACTGTGTCACTGTGATACATATGTACATGTTTTGAGTTAAACGAATTGTTTAATAAATTTTTGTTGAAGTATGATGATCGTGACTAAAACACCACACGAGTACATACGAGTAACATACGAGTACATACGAGTAACATACGAGTACATACGACTACATACGAGTTACATACGACTACATACGAGTTACACACGAGTACATACGAGTACATACGAGTGAAATACGAGTACATACGAGTGAAATACGAGTACATACGAGTACATACGAGTGAAATACGAGTACATACGAGTGAAATACGAGTAAAATACGAGTCGTAAACTTGTTTTTAGTGTTTGTAGATTGAATACAGGCAAAAAGAGCGTATTCTCGGTCGAAAACGTACAAATAGACTGGAACCCAACACAATACTGTTTCAATGAATGACTGTAGCTAATTCATTGTTTTGTGTCGGCTACAATCTCATTCCTACCGATTTCCGCCACTGAATTTTACTCACGACACTTTTTCGCAAAAATACGTTAAGTAACGCTTAAAATCAACTTTGATTTATAAACATATAAATGCTTTATTTTACTTTACATTACTAGAAGTATTAATTAATATAATAAAAACTGTCAGTATTAACATGGATAATAAAATACATGGATAGGAAACTAGCTGACGTGACCTAATGTTTTCAATGGGATGATGGCGTTGCAACCTAGTTGCAAACCAAATTCTCAAAAACGGCATGTTTAGCGATAATACAGCTAAACATTTTAGTCAAAGAGCAAATAAACATGACTAAGCCATTCTACGATGAAATCTCTAAGTATTCCCGGTCAATTTTAGAAATTTTTCAAGCACTAAACACTGAAAAATGCATCGCAAATTTCGTAAAAATTGGCGACGCCAATTTCGTAGCTACAAATGTTAAAAAATACAAAACAAAGACGAAAAACACTTACCTTGAATACTTTGTCGTGGCTTAGGCATGTTTTTAAACCAATTAGACCAGTTTATGCTTCAATATTACTCTATTGAAGCGGAAAATATAGCGAAACAACAAAAATCTGAACATTTTCGAAATACACATGACGTCACAGATTGCAACTAGGTTTAGACTGTGACGTCAGGAAGTTTCCTATCCAGTTATTTTACAATCCATGGTATTAATAATACTCGAATGTTTGGTCATTCTCACGCCAGGCAATATTTGGCAGTCTCTACGCCATATGAACGTTCCTTTATTACACTGCTTAACGTCTTATCAACAGGTAAAATGTAAAGGACATTAACTGAGTGGTGTGTTAATTCTTAAGAAAATGACATTGGGCCATTGGCCATACTAAAAATTGCGATTACTGTAATATTTTTGTCCATGTAGAATGTACTGAAACGAAGATAGACCTTCGGACAGTTGTTCAACATATATGTACGGCTTTACATTTGTCTGTTGATAAGGAGTTTACATTAAATAAAACAGAACACAACTGTTTTGCGTCCAACCCCTTTGTTTAGGAATGTAGACATAATAAATCTTAACAAAATTTTACTTTAAGCTTTCCGGCCATTATAACTGATTGCTGATCAGGTGTCAAGTATAGTTGTGAACTTGCGTACACAGTCCCATCAAAATAAGGATTCTTCTTTGCAATGTGGCTGAAATCACAATGATAATAGGTATTGGTGAAGTCTGCACCATACTGTATGGCTCCGTTGTTATCCAAACCCCGAATTCTTCTATCAGTATGACGAACAATGATGTTGTGCGGTGGGCAACGGTATTTGTATGCAAAATCTTGGTTGCAGCCATAGCATTTTTTTACGTTGTTCTGTATCAGGCAAATTTGATACGGATGGGGTGAAAGCCCGGAATGCCAAACGGTAGTAGAATCAACAGGTTGGTACGGTAATTGTTGTTGTTGCTGCTGCTGCCGCAGCTGTTCGAATTGCTGTTCTTGCTGCTCTTGTAACTGATCTTGCTGTGGTGTTTGTTGAAGACGAAGATCATGCAGTTGTCGCTGCAGCTGTTGTTGTCGCTCCAGGAGCAGTGTTGGTTGTGGTTGTGCCTGATAATAACCTTGCGCATACTGGTGCTTGTATTGCTGTTGCTGAGGATGTAGAGTTGGCATGGTATTAGGGAATAGAATACCACGGTGTTGGGATGTGGTATAACCAAATTGTCCCTGTTGTGATAAGGTCGATGAACTTATTTGTGATGTAAACGTTGACGATACTGGACCACAAGAGTAATTCAATGGCCGTTTAGGATCTCCTAACTGAGGCTGGGAAATAGACGCTGCGGAAGGTTGCCACGATTCTTTCGTTTGCTTCTTCTTTCTTTTTGAAGCTTTGCTAATTTCGTCCGGTTTCATTCCTTGCTCTTTCGACGTCCTTCTCGCGTTATATGCGCTTGTCAGGTTAACGCCAGCTCCCTTTTTCCCTTTTTTCTCTGAAATTTTTTTGGATATCTTTAGCGTACTTTTCCAAGCAGTCAAGGTCTTCGGCTACTGCAATTGTGTCTTGGCAGATACCCACGGCCTTGTAAACGCTACACTGACATTCAAGCTGATTTCCAGTTTTCGACGGCTTTACAATGAGAGGAACTTTGCCAAGTCGGCTTTTTACAGTTCTTATTCGAAGATCGTCGGACGCTGCTTGCCGTATCGCACCTGGCTCGTTTAATAGGGCTTCCGCATTCTTAATCATATCTCTGAGCGTGCTGTTGGGAACAATTTCTTCTGAAATACCAAATTGATCCGCTGTGATAGAGAGACGCCGAACTTGAGGAATCGTTGGAAGCGATGGCACTACAGTTGCGCTGTCAGTAATTTCAACTGATTGGGTCTCGTCGTCGTTGGATATAATTTCGTCGTATGTTGGAATTGGACCTTCCCTGAGTATAGGCATAGGTGGACAACAGATACTTGTGAAGAAACGTTTCATCAGTCGCTTTCGTTCTTCTGGGGACATATCTTTCCAACTGTCGTAGTCAAGAGAAAATTTCTCGTATTCCTCATCCAATCTGTATGGCCCTTGCCCATATAAAGCTTTCGCAGCATCTTGGTATAACCGCAGAACCCTATTCTTAAGGCTGGAAACAGCTGCAGTCAGACTGACATCTCTGTGTTTAACGCCATCTGCTTCAGCATCGATCTCACGCTTTGACATGTAATGCAACCATTCCACTGGGTTCTGACCAAAGCCTCTCGGAACTCCTGCACGATCACGGATGTATTTTGTCATTTTCTCTCTGATTTGCTTCTCCTTATACCGGATGAAATACGTGCAAAACTTGGGTGGATTATTCTGCGTGGAAGATCTTTCAATATTTTCCCACTTGGTTTTAAAGGCTTTCGATTTCTGATTGAATTCTTCTTCGCTTTCACAATCGTATAAACAACCATCTACTCCCATCGCTGGACCACCGAATATATCGGCTTGGATTAATTTTCTTTGTCGAACAGGAAAATTCAACTCTGTGAGCTTTCTCTCAATGCTGTCTTGAACATGTTCCAATCCCAACAGGTGAATTGTGCCACGCGTTTCTTGCAGAATCCCACCACTTAATGCCTCATCTTCATCTGTACACACGGCATGTAGTCCTTCCAGCTGGGGTTTCTCACGCTTAACTGCTTGCCAAAAGTACTGAAAGTCTTCAGTTGTTCTGTTTCTGTGGATCAGAAGGGGTCCTGGAAACCATGGGTGCCTGACAGAATCCCGCTTGCGTAAGCTCAAGTTCTGGTACGCTGTCTGCGTAAAATAGTATTCAGCAATGTTGAAAGTCGTGTCAGCAAGCAAAGGAGAAAACGAATTTTCACTTCCGGCTCTTGTGCAAAAACGCAAAACGTCCGTTAGCGTTTGGTTTGTGAATGCGACGACGGCTGGCTGACATCCTTGACGAAATAACACTTCTCTGACAAACGGCTGGTTTTCTTCTAAAATGAAAAAATCTTTTTCTTGATTTTGCTGGAGCAACATAAGGATTACGTCATTGATCTCATCACTGGACTTCGAGTTACTTCCATAATTGAATTTGTAATTGGAAACTTGCTTTGGGTTACGGACTCGAACAGAGTCTGTTGTACTTTCCAAAATAGTCACGTCGGCGTCACCTATGGATTCTGCTAACAGTCGCGGCGCTGTAGAACACGACTTGACGGCTTCTTTGCATTCCTGTTTGACGGAGTGTTCAGTTGGTCTGTAGAACGGTGTGTCTTCTTTAGTTGCATTTCCATGTTTTGACGGGACAATAGGGACAGGGTTTCCAGAGCTAAAGTAATACTGAACAATAATCATTTTCAACCAGATATTGTATTCTTTCAGAGTTGTAAGAGTTCCATGAACGCTGTCATACTCTTGGACGGGCATAACAAAAATAACGTATCGTGTAAAAGAAGTGTCAAACTGCTTCAGAGTTTCTTTATGTACCGCCCGTTTTCGTATCACAGCATACAATTTGCTTAGATCGGCTGTTGTACTTTTCCATTTGCCATTCTCACGGCGGTTGTACGTTCCCCCGATGATGCTTCCTTTATTGTTCTTTCTCACGTGCACTTCAGTTGATAAACTTAGCTCCCCGTCGTCGCTTATGGTAGCTTGATAGAAACGTACCTGATCTCGCTTGATAAAAGATCCTGGTGTGTCATCTGCTTCAACGTCATATGGATGCTTAAGATGTATTAAGTCTTGTTGCACAACAAACGTAGCAGTTTCCTTGATCCGGGTTGGCTTTGTCTTAACAAGTTTCTCCTCTGGTATGTTGTGAAGAAGACATATATTAAATATTTCTTCAACGTTAGGACTGCTCTCACTAAACTTTGGCAGGTCGCGATTGTTACGGTAATATTGTATATGATCATCATCTGTTCGGAGACAATCGTCATCTACACGTTCTGTTTTTACATCACCAGAAAGTTTTTTACTTATGGGAGAATCGTCTGGGCAGAAACAATAGTCATCTACACGTTCTGTTTTTACATCACCAGAAAGTTTAGTTTAGTTTAGTTTAATTAATTCGCCAGTAAATTACAATAACATACATATATAACAAGTTACAAGTTTACTAAACAGACGACTGGCAGGAGTTAGATACAGGACTAATGTCCCAGTTGCCATCCTACCCCTATACATCAATACAATACACTAAGAAATATTCACGCAGGTAAGCAATACGTAGCTAATTTATCGAAGTATAGGTTAGTGATTTTAGTCTTAAATAAAGTAATTGAATTACAAGATTTTAAATTAGAAGGTAACGTATTCCAGAGTTCTGTAGCCCTAATGAAAAACGACTTTCTATAATAGTCTTGTTTGTGCTTAATAATCAAGTTGTAGTTATTTGGGTCGTAATTACGTGTCCGATAGCAATAAACGTAAGTGTTCAGGTACTTATTCACGTCCATAGTTATTAGCCCATTTCTGGACTTAAACAATAAAGTTAAATCCGAAATCTCTCTTCTGAATTCCAGTGGAAAAAGGCGTAGTTTCTGCAGCCTCAACGGATATGACATATCTTTTGGGTAATTAAGAATAAACCGCGTAGCTCTTCGCTGAACATTTTCGATAAGTAAACGATGTTTACCTGTGTAAGGAGACCAAAGACTACTACAATACTCAAGCTTTGGTCTAACAACAGTACAATACAGAAGCTTCCGGGTGTTTGTGTCCTTGATATCCCCACACAATCTTTTAACAAGACCAAGGGTTCTGTTAGCTTTAGAGACAATCTCTTCGATGTGTTTAGACCATGAAAGGTTGTTGGTGATAGTAATTCCAAGGTCCAGTATGTTAGCAACATTTTCTAATTGGTTACCTGCCAGATAGTAGTTTTTACCCGTTAAGTGATGTTCTGTAGGTAATTTCTTCCTTGAAAAATGTACTGCTTTACATTTACTAACATTGAATGCCATTGCCCAGTTTTCGCCCCAGTGACTGAGGCTGTCGAGATCTTTCTGAAGGGAAACACTGTCGTTAGGCAAATAGATAGGGCGGAAAAGTTTGGAGTCGTCCGCATAAAGAGCAATTGATGAATTGTTTTCTAAATAG